CCCCGGAAACGGCGGAGGCGGCGGCGGTGGAATCCCCGGCAGAGTCGGTGGAGGCGGACAAGTCCCGTGCTTCTGCGCGAGAATCGTGGAAACGTTAGAATCGTGGATGCGCGTGTCCGGGGAGGGTTTTGTCCGCGAAATATCCACCCACCGCGTTGTTACCGACAGATTTCCCTCCTCCCTGTTCCAATTCTCGGATTTTGTTCTCCGCGTGCTGCAGCTTCGCCTCTGCCTCCTGTTTACTGGCTATAGCTTCTTCCAATTTCTGCGACACCTCGACCAATCGTCGTTCTTCTTCCGCTCGTGATTTTTCGACCAACGTGTCTATCAATGGTTGCACGTCGATTTGAAATCGTTTGGTCGCGCTGAAATCTGGGTCGCAGCCCGAACGATGGAGTACTATTTGCGATACGCATTCCTCTATCAGTTTGTAGTACGCGGGCCTGCCGGTTGAAAAGTACGACGGGACCGCGGGAACATAAAAAACAAAAAGAACAAACGAAAAAGTGAAAAAGTGGAAAAGTGGAAAAGTGGAAAAGTGGAAAAGTGAAAGAGAAAAGGACCGTGCAAATCGTGTTCCGACGATTTCGAGCAATGAATTTCGAATTGTCGTCTCGGTCGCGCGCGACCCAGCTTCCTACCTGACCGAGGCGTCGTCCCTGACGAAGAGCAGGTGCTGAAGTATCGATAGAAAGTAGGGCTCGGCAGAGGTTTCCATCACCATGTTCTTGATCACTTCGAAACAATCGTTGACGTCGTCCAACTCCAATCGGACGTGATCGAACCTCTGGACGAATTCCTCGTAATCTTCCTCCTTGTGATCGTTGAAAATTTTCAAGTGCCTAGCCAGATCTTCGGATTCGTCTCTCTCGAGCATTTCCAATATATCCGCCAGTCCAACTCGCATAATTTCATTCCGTAGGTGGAGTCGAAAGTCGAGCTCTTCAGCCGAGGAGATGATAGAATTGATCAGTTGAAGACACTCGACCTGTTACGGCAACGCACGGGAACGTTTCATCAACGATTACGCGGTACCGAGGGGAGACGACACCGGAAACAACGTACCCTCAAATTTTCATTTTTCTTGTTCATCAATCCCTGAACGATCGGTAAGAATCTCTCTCTTCCCTTGAACTCTCCGTTCATGGTAATCGCATCCAATACCTTTTTGTGACTATCGCTCGAAATCAGACAAACCGCTCCCAGAAGTTTCACGGCTTCCGACATGACGGACGGTTTGGTGGGTTCCAGCGATCTGGCCACGATCGTTAGCGCCTCGTGGTGGGCCAACATTTCTTTTATGCCGACGGTGTTGTTCATAATTGCCTTTAAGCATCGGATGCATTCGTATTGTATGCGCTCGTATCGATTGTCGCTGCGAAGAGATGGAAAAAGAAACAAAAATGTCCTCTCAAAGCCGTCAAAATCGCAACCGATATTCCAGCGAAACCAAGTTTATCTCGCGACAAGTCGACGGGCAGAGGAGATCGTGCAAAGAATCGACAAACGGAAGCCACACGTTCTGCTCGACTAAAAGAGTAGTTAAGAGAAGGATCGATCTCCAGT